GATCTTATTATCGGCTACACCTCATTGAAAATGAAAAGAGATTATTATCAGGCCCACATGTTTGGGTGAATGATGTTGACTACTCACTTCCCTGAGCAGAAGGAAATTGCCACTTTTAATCCCACCTGGTTTGACAGACATCTGGAGTTCCAGCATCATAGATCCCAAATCTTGCTACAGGAAACAGCCAATAAAGTTGTCAAGGATTAAAAAGCACAGGCACTTTCATTTACATCTCTGTTCTTTACATAGTTCCTAGCCAGGTGAAGGAGAGCAGGGACCATAGATCAATAGCAGCATGTTTTTTAAAAAATAGAAGGCCCCAGGTTCAACAATGGAAATATCTAAAGGCTTATGTTGCAGGTGATGGAAAAGGCCTTTGCTTGAGATGGCAGAAAACCATTGGGTTGTAGCCAATGAAGTTCTACACAGAGTAAACCCATTGAAATTAATTGACCTAAGTTTATCATGCTCATTTGTTTCAGTGGGTTTATTCTGAGTAGAACTGTGTTGGATACAACCAGTTATTAGTTAAGATAGACAATGGTGAGGAATAAGGCAGGGAAATAAGGCAGCTTTCCTATCAGAGATGGCAAAAGCGCAGGGACTTTGGGGCAGTAGTCCATGGCCCCAGAGGAGGGGCGTCCAAATGCCACAGAGAATATGCTTCCTATGGTTGCTAGCAAAGATGTTGCACCTATGTTTCCCATTACACATCTTAGATAGCACAACACTGGCAGTCCAGAGGTGCCCTATGCCCCAGTACAGCACATAAATATCTTCTCAACCATTATCCAAATCAGATAATTTTTATAAAGGTTCCCTGCTTGGTAGCAAAGACCACCAAAAGAGAAGGAACGCCAGCTGGCTTCCCTCCTGCAACAGAGGGCAATTCACTTCCTTAACAATCAGCAGGGAAATTTTTACCCTGAAAGCACAATAAGCACTCTAATAATTCAGTTTTCATCTTGCAATTTTCACATCGGCTGAACATTCCCTCTAAGCTGCATCAAGTGGGAAGCAGTTTATTTGATTTAATTCACCTAGCTTGGGGTGTACATTCTATTTCCCTGTGCTCACTTTGACTAATTTAGCATTTGAGAACTTCATTGCTTTTTTCTCCCTGAAACTAAACCAGGAAGTTGTGACTGTCACGTGGGACTTCACAAACTTGTTACCTTAAGTTCCTGTTCTGAACAAAAGCCTCCTTCCTTGGGCCCTTTCTTCCACTCATGAACAGAGAGGTACAGATGCAAACGTGTTCTTAAATGCTTGCCTAAGGAAGCAATATATTTAAGAATAGGCTTGAATGGAAGGTGTCTGTGATAATAACTATATCAGGTTTTGTAATAGGTAAGATCTCTTTGCATAATGCAATAGGAAAGCGCAGGTGATAAAAACACCATGCAAGTAAGGGTGGAAGTCAGCCTCTAAGGATATATTAAATTGGAAATTAATTTGTAATTTTTAAATTGTTAACCTAAGATTTGTTTAAATGGTTAATCTGTTTTAAAAAGTTGAAAACAGAATAAAAATGAATTGATAAAAAAGGAAGGAGTCTCTGTGTCCTCTGTTTAAGGGCTGACAGAAAGATAGCCCCCTATTTGGACACTCCTCAGCCACTCACAGGGCTCATCCACACTGCTGCTTGTCCCATGCTTTGAGAGCACAGGTCCAATAAGTTTTCTGCTTATCCCATGCTTTTTGGCATGGGTCCAAGACATTTTGCATTTGCCCCACAGCTTTCCCCTGGAAAACAAGCTCTTTACCACTGAAGCAGAACAAACAGCAATGTGAGGTACTGCCATTTCTTCCAGTTCAGAGGTGAACAATGAGTTTTCCTGGGGGAAACGGCAGGACCAAAACCAACAATTCTTAGACACAGACCTGGAAAACACACACCTGAGCCGGGAAAGCATAGCACAAAAGGAAGTCTGGATGAGCCCCAATTCTCATCATTGGAACATAAGACGAGCCTGCTGTCCTTTTCTGTTACTATTGCAACCCAGTGGAAGCAAACAACTTCTTTTTTTTTTTTTTTTTTAAAGCAATTTATTGGGTTTTACAATAAAAATAAACATGATTAACAATATAACATTTGTCTTAACATAGTTTCACATTTTCTTTGGACTTCCTCACATCTCCCGCTCCCACTTTCATCGTTATAACATTTTATCAGCAATTTATCATCTTATTTAAATTCTTATATCCCTTCTATATTTCATAATCTTGTAATTCTCGAAAGGAGTTAAATTTTCACAATCTTACTTGTTTTCTTGAAAAAATTCTAAATTTAGTGGTGCTCAGTTGTTTTAGTCTAGCATCTTATTTAGCATTCACTCAAATTACAATGTTTTTGTAGATAATTCTTAAATTTCTTCCAATCCTCCTCTATCCTCTCTTCTCCCAGGTCACGAATTCTGCCGGTCATTTCAGCCAGTTCCATGTAGTCTATCAGTTGCATCTGCCATTCTTCCAGTGTGGGTAGATCTTGAGTTTTCCAGTGTTTTGCAAGAAGTATCCTTGCTGCTGTTGTTGCATACATAAAAAATGTCTGGTCCCTCCTTGCCACCCCTTGGCCGACAATACCCAAAAGGAAAGCCTCTGGTTTCTTAGTGAAGGTATATTTAAATACCTTTTTCAATTCATTATAGATCATTTCCCAGAACGCCTTCACTTTAGGGCAAGTCCACCAGAGGTGGAAAAACGTTCCCTCACACTCTTTACATTTCCAACACTTATTGTCAGACAGGTGGTAAATTTTTGCAAGTTTGACTGGGGTCATATACCATCTATAAATCATTTTCATTACATTCTCTTTCAAAGCGTTACATGCAGTAAATTTCAATCCATTACTCCACAACCTTTCCCAGTCCTCAAACATAATATTATACCCAATGTCCTGCGCCCACCTTATCATAGCCGATTTAACCGTTTCATCTTGTGTATTCCATTCTAACAGCAAGTTATACATCCTTGATAGTACCTTAATCTTTGGTTCTAACAATTCTGTTTCTAGTTTCGATTTCTCCACCTGGAACCCTAATTTCTTATCATTTTTAAAAACTTCTTTAATCTGAGCGTAATGTAACCAATCTCGCACTTTGTCTTTCATTTTCTCCAAACTCTGCAATTTCCAATTGTCTCCATCCTTTTCTAGTATTTCCCAGTATTTTGGCCATTTAGCCTCCATATTGGGTCTTTTTCGGGCCTTAGCTTCTAGTGGTGAAAGCCACCTGGGAGTTTTATTTTCCAGCAAGTCTTTATATTTTGTCCAGACATTAAACAGTGATTTTCTGACAATATGGTTCTTAAAGGCCTTATTTGCTTTAACCTTGTCATACCATAAATATGCATGCCATCCAAAAACATTATTAAACCCTTCCAGGTCTAACACATCAGTGTCTTCAAGGAGTAGCCAATCTTTTAGCCAGCAGAACGCTGCGGCTTCATAATACAACTTTAAGTCTGGCAGGGCAAAGCCCCCTCTTTGTTTTGCATCAGTTAATATCTTAAACTTAATTCTGGGCTTTTTGCCCTGCCAGACAAACTTGGAAATGTCTCTCTGCCACTTCTGAAAGCACTCCGTTTTGTCCAAAACCTGAAGTGTTTGAAATAAAAACAACATCCTTGGCAATACATTCATCTTAATAGCAGCAATTCGGCCTAACAAAGAAAGTTTCAATTTTGACCAACTATCTAAGTCTCTCTTAATTTCTGTCCAGCATTTTTCATAGTTATCCTTAAATAGACTTAGATTTTTGCTGTTATATTTACCCCTAGGTATTTTACTTTTTTAACCACATTAAGTTCCGTCTCATTCTGAAACCGTTCTGACTCTGTATCTGTCAAATTTTTCCCCAAAACCTTGGTTTTCTGTTTATTTAATTTAAATCCAGCCACCCGACCAAAGTCATTAATCAGTTGTAATACTCTTTTCGTACTGGGCTCTGGCTTCTGCAGGGTCAGGAAGCAAACAACTTCTTAAAGCTGAGAGACCTGTGGCTCTCTAGATGTCATTGGACTCCCAGCTCCCATCAGCCCCAGTCAGCATGATGGGAGTTGTAGTTCAGCAACATCTGGAGACAGGGGGATAACCTGAATAAAATATGGGGCACACACTGCACACAGACCATTTGAAAGGCAATGCCTATCAACTTTGAGGGGCGCTGGCCCCTCAAACACTTTACTGGGGGACCTCAGCCCCTAGGAGTTGTCTCCTATGGTTGCAGAGACACAGGTTCCCTACCTCTTCCTTAAAGCTTTGTTTGAAAACTCCCTTAGTCCTCCACTGTCTCTGAAGTGCACATAACTTTTCTGTCTAAGCCTCTCTATTTCTCTCCCAGGTACTATTTCCTCCATCTCCTGGGCCAGGTAAACTATATCTTAATGGGAATCCCCAAACCCACGAAGGTTAGGATTTTATGGATCAATTAGTTCTTGCATTTTCCTCAACTGCAGCCCAATTCTTGTTATAGTCGCTTCTATGCTACTGCTACTGCAGCCTCAGTTATCAGGGGCATACAATCTGTTTTCATTAGGCTTTATCACCCTGTGCAATTTGATTATTTCCTCGGGGCCTCTGCAACCTCATTTGCTTTATAGCAGACTTTTACCAGCTGTTTTGTTTCCTGCGATATGTGGCACGCTGCTTCTCTGATGCTTATTTAAATGGCAAAATGCTTGGAACAGGCCGTCAGTTGCGTTTAGAGGTTTTAAAATAATGGGCCATTGTTCTCATTAATTCTTTTTTACATCTGAACTTCACCGTTCTTACGGAAATCTGCTAAACTGTTTTAGGGTAGATTCAAAATTAAGGAGGTGACTGGGAGCCATAAGGAAGGCATTGCTTAATAGTCTGCCGGGGCAGCAGATTTCACATTTCATATTTCCGGATCTGTTGCACAGCATCGCGTGTGTGCAAGCAGCCTTTCAAAGACACTGCAAGAGACTGTGCATCTTTAGCTACATGATAATGTTCACCTGATCACTATCAAACTGTGGCTCAGTAGTAGAGCATCTGCTTTGCATGCAGAAGATCTCAAGTTCAATCCTCAGCATCTCCAGGTAGGACTGGGAATGTCCCCATTCTGGAACTCTGGAGAGTTGCTGCAACTCAAGGTAGAAGGACCAATGGCCTACCCTCCAACATTCCTCAAATGAAAATAGGGAGGTTTCTCACTCTTCTCCAACCTACCCTCCTCAACCCCTGCTTCCCCCCAGGGGTGGAGGAAGGGAGGGGAGCCTGGGTGGTGAACCACCCAGGTGTCACCACTGAGAGGGATGACAAAATGTCAGGCAGCACTCACCATGGGGCCTGCAGCGTGCCCGAGCCACACATCTCTCCTGGAAGTGACACAGTGGTTTGGGTGCTCACAGGCTCTGCGCTGCCCCCCAAACAGTCCGCCCGCAGCTTCCCCCTCAGCTTTGGGCTACTGAGTGGGAGGAGGCAGGCAGACTCCTCAGAGGCCCCACAGAGTGTCCTGCCCTGGCTCGCCCCATTCCGCAGGCGGCTGGCCCCGCCCCTGGGTGTAGGGCAGGCGTGCCGCCCCAGGCACCCTATCGGCTTGCTCTGCCGCTGCTTCCCCCCACCTCCGCAGAGCATTTCCTATTCAAAGAAGGATGGGTGCCAACACCACTTGACCAGTGGGACACAGCACACATGTCCTCCACCATCCTGAGAAGACCCCTTAATCCCTGTTTTATTTTACAGTGGATGCTCAGGTTGCGAACATGATCCATGTGGGATGCATGTTCACAACCCACAGTGTTCGCAACCCGCAGCGGCGTGTCTACGCACGCGCTGGTTGCAATTTGGCACTTCTGCGCATGCGCAAAGCACGATTTAGCACTTCTGTTTATGTGCGACTGCCAAAACCCGGAAGTAACCCATTCCGGTACTTCTGGGTTTCGGTGGGTCCGTAACCCGAGGTATGGCTGTATTTTATTTGGTAGGTTTACAAAAAGAAAAACACACCTATAAATAAATTTTAGAAAGGAGCAAGATTAGATGCAGGCACACAAAGTATTTATTCATGATGCCTTGTGCTCTGCTTTACTCCCCCTTTTTTCCTGCCCAGGGCAGCCCTGCTCTCTGCCTGCACCTCAGAGCCAGTATGTCAGATGAGGTGGGGCCTTGGTGGCAGCAGCCTCCTTCTCCTCCTTTGCCCACTCTCCAGCAGCTGCTACAAGCTGCCCAGGGGAGGAGACCAGGAGCAGCAGCCATGGAGAGGCAATGGGATGCTCCTTTGCTGCCGCTGCTTAAGACAAGCGCTAGCTCATCCTCCACCCCGAGCTTGGCAGTGGCAGCACTGGCAAGGGAAATGGGGACCTTCTGGGATCAAATCAGAAGCCCGGATGGATTTCATAATTCTGGGACTGTCCCAGGAAAATCAGGATGCTTGGAGGGTCTGCAATGGTTTGAATGGGCATAAGGCAGCTTCCTATGACTACCTGTGCCTACGCTCTTATGAGAATACTATTGTTCTGATGTCCTGGTTGTGGGCTTCCCAGAGGCATCTGGGAATGCTGGACTTGATAGGCCTTTGGTCTGAGCCAGCAAAGTTCTTCTTTATTCTTCTTATAAAAAATGTACTTGCAAAAAAAAATAAAAAACCCCAAATAAAAGAAACTCATAAACGCTGGTATACTCCACCTTGAAGTTCTCTTGCACAAGGCCTCCTGAAATGATGGATAACTTCCAGGTGGATTGTTGACCCAGATTTGCAACATGCTAAGGCAAGCAAGCAAAGTGTTATTACCATTCATCTTTCAGGCTTCGGAAGTCAATATTCTTAAGTGCTTCCCTTGTGCAGGCAGATTTATAATCGTGGACATCCCTTTGACTTTGTAGCTTCCTCCTCCACCTGACGCCACACAACACAGCTCTTCAGTGTCAGTGCTAGACATTGCAGCATATACTATCTTCTAGACTAATAGCAGCTTCCAAACTGAAGTTTCTCTGTTATTATCTACCAGAAATGTCAACAATCACGCCTTACATATAAATTAGGCAGCACCTATCTCACCTGAAATGAACATCATCTGGTTCCAGTGGCATTGCTTAGAGGTAGCTGACCTTAAAATAATAATAATAATAATAATAATAATAATAATAATAATAATAGTAGTAGTAGTAGTAGTAATATTTGGACAGCTCAGCACAATGTGCTCGAAATCATTTTGCAAGGAAATAGATCTGCGAGGCTGTGTATTATATGACACTTCCTGTCCCCAGGTCATTTGTGTGGTGCGCAATGTGACACCTTGAGGACAAGATAAGCATCTTAACTTCCTCCTTATATGTGTGATGGATAATGTCCAGCTGGATTGTTGAGCCAGATTTGCAGATCTGGGTTTGCAGATCCATGTATCAGGAGAAAAATAAACACCCATGTGACTGTTTTCGAACTGTATTATATTACATCATCCCCATGCACCCCACCCCCAGTCTGCCATCAATATACCTGCCAGAAAAAGTAGCAGGAGTCTGTAGCCAGAAGTGAGGTTAATACAGCAGCTAAGAGGCTGAGCTGGGAAGCCAGGAAGTAGCAGGGCCAAATTCACTGGGTGGCCCCTTTTGCAAACCACCCACTCTTTTCTTTGGCTCCAGTTCCATCTGAAATATGGGACAAAGAATATGGACACAACTTAAGGTAAAGGGTAAAGGGACCCCTGACCATTAGGACCAGTTGTGGCCAACTCTGGGGTTGCGGTGATCATCTTGCTTTACTGACCGAGGGAGCCGGTGTACAGCTTCCGGGTCATGTGGCCAGCATGACTAAGCCACTTCTGGCGAACCAGAGCAGCGCACGGAAATGTAGTTTACCTTCCCGCTGGAGCGGTACCTATTTATCTACTTGCACTTTGACGTGCTTTCGAACTGCTAGGTTGGCAGGAGCAGGGACCGAGCAATGGGAGCTCACCCCGTCGCGGGGGTTCGAGCCGCCGACCTTCTGATCGGCAAGTCCTAGGCTCTGTGGTTTAACCCACAGCAACTTACATGGTTGTTAAAAGGATTTCTGAGAGAATACACATGAATCCACTAGTCACTGAGGCACAGTGGTGTGTGTGTGCATGTACACGCTTATGCGTGTGCGCACACTCTGCTGCCTTTGGGTTCTGCTTGTTGGCTTCCCATAGATAACTGGTTATGGAAACAGCGGTGGAGCAAGCCGATTGGGCGTCTGGGGTGGTGCGCGTGCCCTGCACCCAGGGGCAGACCCTGCTGCCTGCGGGGTGAGGGACAGCCAGGGTAGGGCGCTCTGTGGGGCCTCTGAGGAGTCTGCCTGCCTCCTCCCACTCAGCTGCCCTACAGCTGAGGGGGAGGCGGTGGGCGGACCGTTTGGGACAGTGTGGCGCCCAAGCCAACGCATCACTCCCAGGAGAGACAGACTGGCTCGGGCACGCTGCAGGCCCCACAGTGAGTGCCGCCCAGCATTTTGTCACCCCCTCAGTGGTGACACCCAGGGCGGACCGCCCTCATCACACACCCCTTCCTCCGCCCCTGTATGGAAAACAGGACGCTGGTCCAGATAGGTCTTGGGTAGCTTCCAACACAACTTAAGCATATTAGATGTTGTTTTTTATTATTATTAGCCTGACTAGGATTTACTGAAATGTAAAGTTGGTGTGTTACTACTGCTGTGTTTTGTAGTTGATGTGGTCAAAAAACTGCAAAACTACTTAGGCCTGATCCAGCAGGGCTTTTTTATGTGCTTCCCAAATGGTTCTTCATGCTTAGCCTTCATCTGCACTATACATTTAAAGCAGTATTATACCACTTTAAACACTCATAGCTTACCCCAAAGAATCCTGGGAAGTTTGTTAATGGTGCTGAGAGTGGTTAGGAGACCCCTGTTCCCCACACAGATCCATGATTTCCAGAGTGGTTTAAGAGTAGATCCTTGTTCCTGCGTTGTAGCTTTGTGAGAGGAACTGGGTCTTCTAACCACTCTTAACACCCTTTACAAAACCCAGTTCCCAGGATTCTTTGAGGAAAACCATGATTCTTTAAAGCGGTATGATGCTGCTGTAAACATATAGTGCAGATAATCTACCATACTGGCTTCCCAGATGCAAGATGCGAATGTTATTCTAAGGTCGCGGTGCGATGTGAGACCTTTGTCATATTTTAAAGTGCCAAACAGTGTTACCTTCTTATTAGTCACCTGTTCCTTTTATAGGTCACTTTTTTATATATTCTTGTGTTCCCAGTGTGCTTTTCCAGAGGACAGATCGCTGATATTACTTCAAGATGTCAGCCTGGTTGACACTAATGTGACACATGGTATTCTCCAGAGTCCCCACACTCCAGGACAAGGGAATGCAGGCTGATTTCACATGACAGCATTCCCTAATTGATTCTGAGGGCGCTTTGAAGTCGTCCTCTTTTAAGAATCGCCGCAGATGAGTTGCACCCCCACACCACCAATGGATGTTGTTCTGGAAAATACATTTCTTTTGCTACATCTGCTTCAGAGGTGGGGAGACCTTCACAGCCTGAGGGCCACTTCCAGTGGCAAAAGTAGGCAATAGATGTGACTGTAACCTTTTGAAACTAGGCTACATTCCAGCCTTGCAAAAGTCGGAGGGAATTCAACATTGTGCCCTAAGGCAAATGTTCAGTCAGTGCAAGGATTTGTCTTTGCACAATGAAATGTTCTCCTTCCCCTGTGTGGCACCTAAATCTGCTCTAGGGGTTCCCCAAACCTTTGACACAAATCTGGAGGTAGCCTGTGGAAAGGAGAGGGCAGGGGCAAGAGTTCCATTCCACTTGGGGAGTTATGGGGACAGAACTACATAATTGTATAGGAATTTATTTGTGTATGCTACTACAGCAGAAAGAATGCTACTTGCTCCAAAGTGGAAGGAAGTAGAAGTCCCAGTAAAGGAGGAATGGATACAAAAACTCGTGGAATATGAAGAAATGGTGAAACTTACCGGAAGAACAAGAAATCAAGATAGCAAACTTTTTCTAAAAGAATGGAAATGGTTTATTGAATATTTACAGATAAATTGTAAATTGATAAAAACATTAGCAGGATTAATGTAATAACTTGCAGTT